TTTACATTTATAGCCTGTCTCTTCTGGCGCTATAATCCTATGAGGAAGGTTAGAGTGAAAGAAGATGAGTCTTCCAAGGTTATCCAGTGAGCTCTATGGCCAAGTGGAGTTCTGAAACCCTCAAATAGAGAGTCTCTTAATTCCTAATCGAACCTTCTAACCACTATACTCAGCAGTTTAAGCATCGGTATGACAAGATGTGCTGAGAAAAGGTACTTGGTAGACACTTTGTCATGGGGGGGTGTCACTGTCAATGTGTCAGGCAGGCCATCTGCCCAAACTCCATTAAACCTCCCCCCCCAAAGATTGGTCAGAGCAGTTGCTTCGCAGTCTGAAGGAGATGAGAAGGAGGAAAACACAGGTATTTATAATGAGGGAGGTAATGAGCAGCACCTGACAGCTCAAGAGGTGGGCGAGGAAAAGGGGGTTAAAGGAGGGCAAGGAGGAAGGCTGCGGTTCTTCTTTGAAACCAGGGCTGCCCAGCAAAGTGTCAGCAGAGGAGGGGGAGTCCTGGGGCTCAGTATCGGAGGAACTAGAGCCTATTCTGTGTGCTAGGGTGGAGTTGACCTGGGAGCAGAAGGATGATCTTTGGCAGGAGACTTCAGGCAGTTTCCCAGGATTCAGAGACAGAGGCCGGGGACAAGGGACTGTATCCAGTCCAGCTCCAGAGCCCAGTATGCCAGGGTCAAGAGGTGGAGCTGGGAAAGGGGGTGGCACTCACACCAGCACCAGGTCCAACTCCTGCACCCGGAGCTCCTCCCTGATGTTTGAGATGCCTGATGGGACCTGCAGAGCCCATTCCTACACAGCTGAGGTGCTAGGGGTACAAGCACCAGTGGGAAAGAAGGAGGAGACAATAAAAAAGAGTGAGGGGATAACTATCATTTACAGACAGACATCTCTGCCAATCCTCATTAAAAGACTCCAAGTGTGGTCCCAAACTAGGCTTATATATTACCAAGGCTCCACTGGCCTCAGTGATGAGAACTGAGGTCGGTCCTGAACTGCCTGCTGCCAAAGGACAAGCACCAGGAACTTTCCCTGAGGTGTGGGGGAGCCTTGAGGGGGAACTGTAGTTAAAGGATGTTACAGAATCAAGACCACTTTAACTAGTAACCGGTACTCCTGCCAGAGACTGGTTGAACAGCCAAAGACAAGGAGGAGAGAAGCGCACGCCAGCTGGTGAGTGGGGGACCCATCTGGGGAGGCAGAAGAAGGGAACGTATAGCACCTGTAGTGCCGCATGTACAAACTGGCACAAACTTCTGAACTGAGGTACGACCTTGGCCGAAGGAAAAGCAGTGTGGAAGCATGACTGCTCTGGGGAGGTTCAATATACATGATGGCTACTTTGAAATATCAAGAGAAGCAGAAGGACTAACTGAACACTTGATAGCCATTTTGAATGACATCCTCAGAGTGGAGATAATCTCTAAACCAACTCCTCATGGTTCTACTTCATAATCTGAAATTTAGCAGGCCCTCCAATATTCTCAGGAACCCTAGGTAATGACACAATCAAAGCAAGGGATGATTTCTCATAAAAAAATTAGCTCCAACCCACCAACAAACCGGACAGCTCTCCTGAGGAAAGAGTTGAAGTTGCAGCCCCCTGCATTGATATTGGGCTCGGCTCCGATTCCATTCCGGCGTTTTGAAAGGCAGCAGTAGAGAATGCCTTCACCCACCATGATCTACAAAGAGAACAGAAGGGCTCAAAATCACTGAGCAGGGCAAGATTTTATTTGAAAGACTCGCACTTTGTCAGAGGTGAACCCACTTCATCTAATAAAGTGTGTGTTCTTCCCATAGTTTCATAGACACAGATTAATTCAGTTTTCTTGAATGATGGAGGGGAAGAAAGCATGTACAGTAAAGCACCACCTTTACTGTATTTTCATTATTGTGAAAATATCTTCTCTCCCCCCACCCCGCTCCAAAAGAGACATGCTCATCTGTAAATCTCAGAGAGTAAATCATTAAATATCTGTTCCACCTCTCTGACATTTGCCATGTTCTTTAGGATGAAGAGCATGACATGAGCAGCAGCACATAAACATTTTAATAAATGAAAACAAACAATAGAGCAAATATCTATGTCCTTCTGCAGGCACATGTAAATTCTTTCCCTCTGAGAAAGGGCCCTTGGAATTGTATTTTAAGGCTGCTCCAGACAGAGTGTTTGTTCCCTGTATCGAACCTGATTCTGATAATACGGATTTTTTTCTTCTGTCTAATCTAGATAATAAAAGACTTAAATTGCCACTAAAAAAACCCTAACTTTTCACATCTACTATAATCACCTCCTGATAAGTGTTCAGTTTGTCTCTTGTTTGCATCACTTTTTATTGGGATGAAGTTCAGGTGGCAAGAGCTTCTTGGGTCATAAACTTTCATTTTTAGCATTAATCTGCTAAACATAAACAATACTGAAAATCCAAATGAGAAGATAATTTCCTAAATGAATTTTGAGACTCTTGTTTTAAGGACAGATTTCCAAAATGGATTAGCAGCGGATGTCCACTGCCAGGAGCTTCTACTGGAAGGTTTTAATTTATCACTTATCTACTAAAGCAACAACAAAAAAAATCCAGCACAGAAGATCACTTTTAAAGCATTTCCTCAAAATTCTTGAAACAGTTTTGAACCATTTCTAGGAGCTGATTTCTTAAGGAGATGGGAAATGGACTTTTAAGATTGATGTGGATAGAAGCCATGGTAAGATCTTCTGTACTCTTTTTGAACCATTTCTTGAAGAAGAGCTGATTTCTTAAGGAGACGGGAAATGGACTTTTAAGAATGTTGTGGATAGAAGCCATGGTAAGATCTTCTGTACTCCTCAGGCCCTCTATGGTACTAGCGAGCATGAAATAGGGGGAAAAGAAATGTTCCATCTGCAAAAGGCATCCATCTCATCCATCTTACAACAGTCTTCTGTGATCATCAGCTTTAAGAGATAGTGACACGTCCAAATGTAGTAAGCCAATTGTGTAGTTCTGTGGAGATCTGAACCCATTTTTTGCCACTTCTAAACCTAATAATCTCATTCAATGGTACTTCTGGAGGAGAAGAATTGGCTAACAGGGCACTGTTGTTGCCCTGGGGAACATCCAAACATATTCACATTTCTCTCATTCTTCAGGGAGGCTTCTTCTAACTCCTCAGGACAGGGTGCTGGCTCCTATTTTGTTTAACTACAACAATGATCAGTCTTTTCCCCAAGGAACCAAATATTTAATCTGTGCTCACAGTTTTTAAACAGTAGAACATATCATAATAGGTGAAGTAGAACATTTCATATCTTATGATAGAAACCAACTTAAATCCAACCCAGCCAAGATTCAAATAGGTGCCTTTTGTTGGCGAAATAAACAGTCATCTCAGAAACATCATCTTACCTAGACCAGTAACTTTGGGTCCCCAGATGTTCTTGGACTAAAACTGCCAGAAGCCTTCACCACTAGCTGTGGTGGCCACAATTTCTGAAAGCTGTAGTCCATGAACATCTGAGAAATTAAGATTGGAAACCACTGACCTAGATCATTGTTTTGCTCCCAATACCTTGGTGCTACTTTGGATTGTATGCTAACTCTAAGAAACATGACCAAAACACAAAGCAAAAGATCTCCATAAGGAACAATATTCTTAAAAAGCTATTGGGAAACAGTTGAGGCACACAAGGACAAACACAAACAACACTAGAGTCTTGACTCTTTGGTATTATGCAGGTTAACATGCTAGTCTAGTGTGTGTTAGTTTAGCTCATGAAAAGACATAGACATATTGCTCATTGAAAGCTGTTACTGGATGCTTGAAGCCAATTCTTATTGACAAAGTTAATTACCTAACAGGCATTACACCCAATGATATACTCAGAGAGATAGAAGCTAGTAGAAAAAGACTCAAATCATTTACATGAAATGCACTTTTTTGTTGTTGCTACAATCCGTAACTCGTGGTCTAAAATCAAGAAATAATTATTTTAGAACATTGGAAAAGATCTGTTGCGTTGGAATAAATGGATGTATCCACAAAAGTTCACATTGAAGTATAACAGTCTTTTAGGTGCCTCATCATTTTTGTTTTTTATTTCATTAAGTGAATCTCAAGGGAATGGCAGAGACTGCCAGGACTATAATATGGAAAGAAAAACCTCTTAAAACTGACTGAACCCTAGGAAAGCATAAGCCTCTCGTCAAACAGAGAACGGAATTACCTGGAAATTGCTTAATAGGCTATGGACTGGAGGTGGGAGAACCAAGGGAAACCAAAGAAAAAGGAGCTTTTGCACTGAATGCAGATAACAGACCCACATCAGTGTAAAGCTCCTCAACATACACTGTGGAAGTCTGGAAGTCCTGATGCTAGCTGCTCCAGACACTCTTGATATAGCCCATTATTGAGTGGAAATTATCTGATACACTTATTAACTATACTGTGGTGCTTCTGACACAAGCAAAGAAAGACCTAGTACTCTAGCCCAATGTTTTGGGGCACAGCTCCCACACTTCTATATCACTGGCATGATAGGTATTAAAGGCTTGAACCCAATTGCTAGTCCCCACTAGGGCAGGCCCACTAAATCAGTGGGCTTCACCTAAGTGTCGACATGGCTTTCTGCAATGATTTCATTTACATTGCTTTTATTTTGCTTTATGATATTCATAAGACACCTTGAGTGCTATTCTTTGTTGGAAAGACAGGGTAGGAATATATTTTTTTTTTAAAAAAGTCACATAATCTAGGCTGGTTCCCAAGTATTTTAAGTCCATAAGGCAAGAGATTTTTGTTTTTTAAAAAAACTGCATTAAACCTCTAATTCTGGAAGCTGTTAAAAATGGTCAGTACTGTACAGCAAAATGACTGAGAGTACAGCAGTCTGACCTACAGCCACTGTGCAACTGTATCATGTATCCTAATGGACATTTCTTATTTCCCCGACAGCAAAATAAGGGCAGTGAAGATTGTATAATTCCACAGGAATGCAGACCATAAGAGGAGCTTAGGGGATTCTATAAGCTAAGAGCAACTCTCAAAGATAGCATCTAACAATATAATCTGCCTCAGCACAACCATTATTATGATGTGACTTTGATAGAAAGTCATGTTTACTGTACCCAGCCAGAGAAGAACCACACTGAGGAACAGTACTGTGTGGGATGTAATCAACGTTTTGATTTTTGTAGCGTGCTCTGTCATGTTGACTGTACCCAGCATGGGAAGAACCGCACTGAGGAACAGTACTGTGTGGGATGTAAGTGTACCTTTTTGGCCCAGAGGGCTGCACTGGACATTTGTAAGGGGAGAGTGCAACAAACATATTTGCATATTCACACATCCACAAATGGTCTTTCTTCCTCTCCCATATACGTCAGCATTCTGGGATGGGTAGGTTTAACTCTCTCCTTCCTGCTCATTGAAATCTAGGATCATGAAGGAGGAGATAGCAGTTGAGAGCCTCCCCAACCTGATGTTCATCACCACTGACACTGCTGTTTCCTCTTCATTACTATTGGACGTAGGGAAAGAATGCAATCTTTGAACTGACCAGTAACAGGCAGTTTTTTTTTCTTCCAAAAAGTGTTCAGATCAGTAGGAAAAGTGGGTGAGAGCCACACAAGGAGCAACTGAGGGCTGCACAGGGGCCTCAGATTTTGCAACCCTGTAATAGGGCAGTCTAACATAACTTTCCTCAACACTTTGACTCCAAAGTGTTTTGGACTACAATTTCCAACAGCCTCAGCCAGCACAAGTAATGACCATGGACGATAGGGATTGTAGTGTAGAATATCTAGATGGACCCATGTTGGTGGGGCTTACTCTGCAGCAGAGCTAAGGGACCTTTGGACCTCCAGGTATTCTGGACTACAGCTCACATAATCCACTATTACAGGCCATACTTGCTAGGGATTCTGGGAGTTGATGTCTAAAACATCTGGACAGCCAATGCGTCCCTTGAGAATGATCAGATCATACAATGAAACGTTCAGAATTAGACAGAGTTTTCTTACTGCAGGCCATACTGGGGGCCATTCTTGTTCAAATGCCTCCAAAGACTTCCTCTTTCACCAGGCCTCACGAGTAGGCACTGAAGCCAAGGAAACATGGACCAAAAGAGGAGGCAACCAATTTCTCCCTCCAATGGACTATTTCTCGCAGTTTATCCTTTACTGATTTTGAAATTTGGGATGAAACCAAATGTGTGTGGTCTGAAAGCTTAATTTAAGCAAAAACACATAGAGCCTATTTTAAATGCCCAGGCTCATATTTCAAATACATGAAATAGCAACAAAGAAAACACTTCTTGACATTTGCACAATAAACTGCTATTTCCACTAGGGATGAGAAGAAATATTACTGAGCTCACAAGTCAGGGGGAAATTATGGTGGGAGATAGGTGGCAGTTCTGGAAGAACCACAACTATAATTAAATATATTCTCTTCTTCAGCATGAATTGGCCTTTCAGTTACGTACAAGCAACATAGGAGGCCTGGCTCCACCAAAAGAGATGCTTCCAGCAGCAACACAATACAGGGCCATCTTGGTGGCTGCACCTCAGCTATGTAATTCTTTCTCAAGAGAGGATGAGCAAACTTATTGTTTTCAGACAGGCATGCCACATATTTTGGTTTTCTTGTCTTCCAAAGAATTTTCATTATATCTTTACTTGCTGTCTCCATCTCCCCATGATTAAACCATTTTTATAGTGTTATTATGTTCTTACATTTTTACACTATCAGGTGTGTGGCATTGGAACTGAAAATATTTGTGTAAACAAGTAAGTTTTTTTTCCTTTACTTCTTCTTCTGCAGCTGTAAATTTACAGCCACAGAGGGAAGAAGTTGCAATCCTGCACTGGAAGACAAGGTCTTCCACCTGCAATGGAAATCAGCCAGTTCCCCCTATCTTCCTTTAGTGGGATAAGGCAGGTAACTGGCTGTAGCACAACACTGGAAAACAGTGTGCCAACTGGGGGGACTCTCCCTTTCACTCTTTACTGTGTAGTGCACTTATAGTGTTTCATAGAACCATGTGAAGGCTAATGGGAACTAAGCTAACCTTTCAGCACAGCTCTTTATATCCCTACTCCCTTTTTAGAGTGGTAGGACAAAGGTTTTGGAACTTATGTATATGTGAATATATATGTATAACACACAATTTTAAATACAGAGTTTGAGAATATAAATGTCTTAATTTTCAATGAATAGGTAGTTATTGAGTGGAAATCTGCATTCTGCAACACATTGATGCACAAACTATGCATACTACAATTTAACAAAACCCATAAATGATTTCTGTCTGCACCGATGAAATCTAGAAACACTGGAAAGTATTTTTCCATCCGTATTCTTTCCAACTGAAAAGTTGGCATCACTGCTTATAAATCCCCTGAGCATTTGCTATTACAATACGCTCTGGTGCAAGCCTGTACTGCAGCAGTTTTCTCTGTGTCCTTTTCTGAACCCTCAACTTATATTTATATTCTCTACATCTCATTATATATTATTTACTTAATATAGTTAGGAATTAAGATTTAGAATTAGTAGATTTATAGATTAATATGTTATAAATCAACAGGGAAATATTAAAGAAGGCTTAGCCCATGAAGCAACAGGATAAGCTTTCTGGGACACTGTCTTGACAAACATGGCAAAGGCCTGTCTTCCAGAGAATCTACCCAAGAGAAAGGACATGGCAGAGGCATACATGCAGGACCCCTGCAAGTCAAAAGAGACCAATCCCTTGTCTTATTGGGCTGAGGAGTCTGTTTGAGGAGGTCTGGCCAAGGTGGCAGTGGGATTGCTATTTTGCCCAGCCACTCACATGCCCAGTGGGAAGGAGAATATTCTTTCAGGCAGGGGACAGTGTCAGTCTACATGCCTGGAACCTGAATCTGTAGAAAAACTCATTTCCCTTAAGGTCAACCTACCATTGCTGGACTTCCCTGAAGTTCCCTTTAAATAAGATAGAACAGCATCCTCTGCTCACAGGACTAGATATGCAGTGCTTCAGCCTGCCACCCCCCCATCCCACTTCTTTCCTACTTCCACTGGCTGACTCACTCAGCTGCGCTGTGCCCCATGCTGTTAGCACAGTTCCCACCCACCACAGGCTGTCTACTGGCATTTGATTACTCTCCAGTGTGACTTGTCCTCTGCTTCCCTAATGCTGCTTGCATTTCCTGCTGCCACTCCCACTATCCCAGGGTCAATCAGTACAGCTGGCCATCATAGTCATCTCCTAATACAGTACTTGGGATCTGCTGGCTGTTTTGTTTTGTCACAATCACTGGGAATGTGTCACTGGGAAATCCTTTTAAAAATGTTTTGCATTTTCAAGGGGAATATAACAACTATATCATGTTCATATTGACTGTAATGGAGTTCCGGATATCTGGGAATTCTGAATTTTTAAAAATCTGAATCCAAAGGGCTATAATCCCAACTCTGGATTTTGGTACAAGTGCACAACCCTAATCCGGAACCTGGCTTTCTGTTGACATGCTGACATGATTTTGAAAGAAAGAACAGCAAAGGATAAGGAGACAGGGATGTATTGCTCACCGTGATGGCAGGTGCGGCAAAAGCCAAGCTGAGCAACATCAGGAAAGGAACAGCCTCTTGTGAAGGCTCAATGTATGGCATACTCAGACTTCTGTCATAGCAGCTGAATCCAGAGTGAACTGGCTTGAAGACGTCGGTCAGCTCGAGGAAATAGAGGCTAACGACAGAAGATGCCAGTATCGGCAACTGGGAAGGAAGAATGACAAGAAATGGTTAAAAGGCAATGCCTACACTGTGGGCCTCAATCACAGTCATGTAAATTACTAGTTGGCAATCAGGTGTTGAGCAACAGTAGCAATATAGATAGCATGGAGTTATAGACAATGGTGTATTTGAGCCAGAGCTTGTAGAGTTTGAGCCTTGGGACTTTTCAAGGAGAGGGGATTATAACATCATCTGCCACTGTTTCAGTCTCCCCTGTTTCCTTGCAGTTTAGCCCCAATTCTCAGAAGAGCAAGGGCAAAAATAAAGTTTTACAGGAATAATATACTGTTGCAGGGTTTTTTTGTGGGTTGTGTGAAATCCACAAGCACCAGCAGAACTTCAAAAAAAGAGAAGGAAGTTTGAAAGTCAACAAAACTTGGCTTCCAGCTCTGAAAAATACAGCGTGGAAAAGGTCAATGACCTCTACCCAGCCACAAGGACTGGGGATCACTACACACAAAAGGCCGGCTAATGATACCCAACAATCACAGTGACAGATAATCTCTCCTCCTTATCACAACAATACACCCACAACAAGACACACTAATCACCCATCCCCTGAATAGGACAAAAGCCTATCTCACAGCCATAAATACTCCACTCCCAAGCAAACTACACCAGAGCACAGAGTGTTGTCCTCTGAAGATGCTGGCCACAGAGACTGGTGAAACGTTAGGAAGAACAACCTTTAGAACACGGCCAAAGAGCCTGAAAAACCCACCACAACCAAATGGTTTAACCATTAATCCTTGCTCCAGTTTGAAATGTGTCACTGAAAAATCATGGACTTTCAGCCTGATGGGATAATGGGCAAGGCCCTAATTAGCTTCTTAATATATTTGGGAAAGACAAGCAGCATATTATCATAAAATTCATTTTCAAGAACTATATTAAATGAAAAACAGTGTTCAGAAACATATTGGTTAGTTACCTTCAAAGTAAGTGCAATGGTGTAACCTGCAGTGGTAATTTGCTGCTAGTTAGTGTCACAATTTGTACCCCTTCTTACATACCAGTGTAAACATAGAAAAATATAAGAAAAATAAAAGAAATTATTCATGAATTCTTACTGCCATCTAGAATAACCAGAGACTTTTCATTTCAAAAAAAGTCATGTTTCACAGTGTACGCTGGTGCACAGCAAGGGGTAAAAGCATGAAAACACACAACAATTGCTGCTGCAATTTATGCCAGTGCACTTTTGCCAGGATAACTAACCACAAGGAATCTGGTCAGTAGCCCTTCTTCACCAATGAATATGGGTGAAAATGACCAGTATGCTCCTTTACCTCCTACAATAAACAATATTTTCTTATTGGGCATCTATTTTGGGGTTGGAAGTTATTCAGATTCTGAAGCAAGCTGGGAGTATTCCAAAACAATCCGAAGTGAGGCAAGGGAAACCAAAAAAGCACTCATATCAAAACTAATTTGGGCCCCTGAGTATGGCAAGTTTGGGAAGTTACTATTCCCCCAGTCTTGTAGCCCCCTGAGTCTTCCCCAGTACAAAAGATATCTCAAGGGAACTTTGGAACCTGATTTTTTTTTGGGGGGGGGGTGAAAACAGCTGTGGCTGGTGACATCATCAGGCTTAGAAAGCTGAAATGGAAAAAAATTATCTGTTTGAAATGTGGTGCTGGAGAAGAGCTTTGCAGACATCCAGGACTGCCAGAAGACAAACAAGTGGGTCTTAGAACAAATCAAGCCAGAAGCCAAAAATGTCAAAAACAAGGCTGCCCTACTTTGGGCATATCATGAGAAGGCAGGATTCTTTAGAAAAGACAATAATGCTGGCAAAGGTGGGAGGCAGCAGGAAAAGAGGTAGACCAAATACGAGATGGATTGACTCCCTAATCTCACAATCTTGAGTTTGCAAGAGCTGAAGAGGGCTGTTGAGGACAGGCCATTTTGGAGATCACTCATCATTCACAGGGTCACCATAATTTGGGAGTGGCTTGACAACACACAACAACAACGTGGCATACCTTTACACAAATGGATTTCGGCAAATGAATTAAATTATAGATCAGCAGAGTTAAGAGCTAAACTTTTAAAGGTAATTAAACATTAAGAATTAAATACTAAGTGGTTTTTTTCATGCTTTTTCTGCCTGTTCATTAATCATTTCACAGAGGCTGCATGGCTGTGGTGTTGCTCCTTACATTGTTGTGCCAAAGAAGTATAGCTGGAAGTGGGTTCTTGATATGTGCTCGGCTCCCAACTTTAGAAGTCTTCATGGCTAATTCCTAGAAGCCTTGGGAAGCACCATAGATTCTTAGGCTTGGTCTGGATATTGTAATCAAGTGCATTTACAGGCCACAGTTCAGTGACCCAGTATGTAAACTGGGTAAATGTAATCTTAAAAGGGAGGCATAGGGTTCATTCATTTTACAGAGAAGAGTGAAATTGATATATGCCTTCTGCAGAGAGCATAACTACTAATGTCCAGTTAATGCATTACTGATGTTAATTTAACAAATCAAATGTTAACAGTAATAGTAATGAGGGAAACCCCTCCCCCCATTTGATACTGTTCAGCTTTAACTGATGAATTTTTGAACCTAAGCACTGGGGACACATACCTGTTATGGTAGTAAGTGCCATGGAGTGAACAGAGTAGGATTACTTCTGAGTAAACATATGACTGCACTCTACAAAGCTACACGCATATGTTGTTGTTTAGTCGTTTAGTCATGTCCGACTCTTCGTGACCCCATGGACACGTAGATTTCTGTATATGTAATTCCATCATATTTTCAGTACTTAAACTAATTCTGATGTGAGCCATAACAGAAGAATGTGGGAAATTTTGACAATTAAAAACTAATGCTATTTGGACATAGTCCTTACACTATAAAGGTAGCATAGATGTCATAGTGTGAAGCTTTTTTTTCCTTTTTCATTCTAATTTGCAGTGTCCCTTTCTCTTCTATAGTCTAATCTTCTAGAAACAAGTACTATTTTCACTATTGTTTTTATTACCTTGAGTTTTTATGTTGATGTGAACAATGGAAATTGTACACTGCCTACCTTGACTGTTGGGAGAAAGGCATTTGATACATTTAGAAGTAAACAGTGATATTTAAATGAGCATAGCTAGAGTACTGATTATCACCATTTGGATACATTTATGAAACAACTTAAAAGAACAGTGAGGTACTTCTACTGAGGGAAATACTGTATCAAAATGCTTGCTCACTTCCCCCTCAGGAAAAGGAATACATCCAGCTGGCAGAAGGAGAAAGCCTGGAATTAGCAAGTAAAAATAAAAAATAAAATTGTTACATTTGATAACGGGGTGGTGTGGGGAGAGCATAATAACGTTATAGTTTAGAATGTTCACAGTGAGTGGGAAACTGCAATGTACCTACCACTGTCTCTCTCTCTCTCTGATTCTACATATTTTGGTTTAACAAGTAAGGTTTTGCTGTTATTTTTAGGTTGGTATGTGCAGAGCCCCTACCCCCAGCTGTTCTGTGCCTGAATAAAGGGCATATAGATTGGGGTTGCCCCATTCTGTGCTCTTGAAGTGACTCTCTAACCCTTGGTTTGAGTCCATGACTGTATCTGGACACCTGCAGTTCCTGTCAATGGGGAAACAAAATCAGCAAAATCAGGTTGTAAAGAGACTGGTAAAAGCAGAACAAAAGGGTGCAAGTCTGTAGACCTGTGTGCTCTCTTTTGTTGTCCCTTTTTCTCTCTCCAACCACCAGGAGAAAGTTGCAGCTGGCTTCCAAAGGGACTGACTGAGTGATTTTCAAAAGGCAATGGGCATAAGTCACTTTGATGGCTTAACAGGGAAATGCAGGATGCCTTCTACACTTTTCGTCCTTTCTCTCTCTGCCCTCGCTCTTCTGGTTCATGGGATCTTAAATTAGTGGCACTACAGCCACCAGAATAATGATCTAATCAATTATTATTTTTTCCACCAGGAAAGGCAAGGAAAGTTCATTTCCTAAGGCAAAGAGTATACCACATCGCCATCATCTTCCTCTTCTCTTTCCCCACTTCTAATCATGGTGCATGAAAGCTGGACTTAACCCAAGAGATCCGTGGTGGTGGTGTTCTGCCCTGTGGGTGACCAGAGGCTCTTTGCTCCACCCTGTGGTTGCCCCAGAAATGCACAGACACCCCTTATTCGATTCATGTCTATGCATTTGCCTAAAGACAGTGTACATGCCTAGTTCTATGTTACTTTCTAAATGATGTTTTGAAGGCATTGTTAGAAGCCGAGCAGAATTCTTCATGCTTATGTCCTTGTCTAATACTGCTAAATGTAATAAAAACATTACTCAGAAGTAATGAGTACCTTGGGACAGGGTATTTTGGAAAGGAGAGCCAATCAAGTGATGCCAGGGGGTGCTATAAGAAGGGGTGCTATAAGAAGTAGACAGGAAGACAAGAGAGGAGGAAAAGGAATTTAGATTGCATCTAAGGACATAAGTTTGGGTTTTCCAGGGAGATGTAAAATGCAATTACTTGGGAAAGCTGATTCTTACAACACATCTAACTTCAAGCTTAAGAATGTGCCTTGTAACCGTTATGCATTTTAAATAAACAAATTAATTTTATGTTTCAAGTTAAAAACCGCTCAGCTCTTATGAGTTGGGCTTAAGGCAAGTCCAGGGAAAGGAATGGGCAGTTTAAAGATGATAAGCCAGGTTGGGCTGGTCACATTTATCAAACTTTTAAAAAAACAACAACAACTTCTCAGTCTCTGCACAAGGCTGGTGTCAGGCATCGCCACCATCACTGGGTTTTTTCTTCTTGAATTACCAGCCCCCAAGGCACCATGTCTGTTCCTGTTCCCTCTTTTACAGTTAAGAGCAAAAATATTAACATACCCTTTCACTAAACTGGCCCCTCCCCCATTAGGTATTGGTGCAGACTGAGCCCGGAGAGAGCAGCCAAGCAAACGGGGCAGCTGTGACTGTGAGGCACTGAGGTCAGGGTCTCAAAGGGCATCTTGCCCAAGAACCCTTAAAATATGGACATGGCATTCATGAGTCAAACTCTTTAGAGTCTACCGTGAGTAGCGGAACATACACTTGTACCGAGACATCCGAGGTGGAGGCCCAAGGTTGGGGACCACTGCTTTAGAGTCTACCATGAGTAGCAGAACATACACTTGTACCGAGACATCCGAGGCATCCTGAATATGGGCTCCGTGCCCATGAATTGCATTGAGGGACTGGGAAAGGCACGGTTTTTAAATACCTTCAAATTATATAGAGCTTCCTGAGATGGTACAGTCAACGACACCACAGATGACAAAAAACTGTCACCTTAAAGGCTAACTGCTATATTTTTTTGTGGGTAAAGGTAAAGGTTCCCCTTGACAATTTTTTTGTCCAGTCGTGTTCGACTCTAGGGGGCAGCGCTCATCCCGCTCTTCAAGCCATAGAGCCAGCGTTTGTCCGAAGACAATCTTCCGTGGTCACATGGCCAGTGCAACTTAGACACGGAATGCTGTTACCTTCCCACCAAGGTGGTCCCTATTTATCTACTTGCATTTGCATGCTTCTGAACTGCTAAGTTGGCGGGAGCTCACTCCATCGCATGGATTCGATCTTACGACTGCTTGATCTTCTGACCCTGCAGCACAGGCTTCTGTGGTTTAGCAGTTATTCTTCAAGGTGACGCAACGTGTTTGTCTTCTTAATTTTCCCTTTGCCCTTGCCCGATGTGCTAGCACAGACTAACAGAACTGCCTCTTCTAAAACTGTCACCATAGATGTAACTGCAAGCAGTGGTACCATTCCTTAGTACTCATTCAGGTAAAAAGCACAAGACAACACAATACCCTCTGTCCAAGTAACTAGTAACAGGAATAAAGTTTTCAGGGGTCTCCCCTAGGCACCTTTTTCGGTTTCCAGGTACAATTGTGGTTTTGGATAAGGGAAGATTCTCTAATAAAAGTACAAAGTAATGTAGGCCTTTTAACAACGTGAACAGAAACCTTATCCCCTCATTCTGTTGCGAGTGGAAAGGGCCTTTTAGCTGTTATTTAAAAAACCACAAGCAAAAAACCGTACAAACCTTTCTCAAATTGGCAATTCAGCTGTACTACACATAGGATGAAAAAGCAGTTTGATGCCCATGGAATACTATTTCTGTTTCCTTTCACAGAAATGTCATTGGCTTGACAGTTTCAGGATAAGATGGCACAGAAGCCTCCTCTTAAATACCAGTTTTGGGAGGCATCTAGTAGTCAGTAGGAAATGGATAAACAGAAAGAGACATTTGCACTGAGCTTGCTGTAGGAAGAATAGCTTTAAAATGTACTTTCCAAGTCTACATCTTTAATGAGATATTAGCCTTAAAAGCACAGAGCTAGTCCCTAGACAGAAGCACCAAGTATATTTCATAGTTGTGGTCAAATTATGAATTCTTGATATGGTTTTGCATATAGTTTGCTTCAAGTGCAAAAAAAGTAGATAAACACTGTCCAGTATACTAAGTCCACACAGATTCCTCCAATTTGTACAGATACCTTCATGCATAATTCCAAAGTACTGAACTATGCTACAAAACAGATTCACCATGTTGGATAGTGCCTTTTAAATTTGTACTAAAACTCAGAGCAAATTCACCACATCTATGACATCAGAATCATGACCCTCCATCAGTCAAATGTACAGTGTCCATTATGAGCTTCTGGCCAAACACCAGAGTTGAGTTTTTCTCTTCCTATAACCTGTTTCTCTAATCTTATCCCTCTGCCAAAGGAGAAAAGGTCTGCCTCATTCATGAAGAATGTAGTTTCTGTAGACAGTGTGAAGTAGAAAGTCTTCCCTGAAAGTCTCCTTTCTGACATCATATCGGGGGGGGCAGGGGGGGACATTATAGATGTTTCTGACAGTCACTATGCAATCAATAATGGTTCCCTTCTTTATGTGCAGAACAGGATCAGATGGGATTTTTTCCTTGATACTGAGCTTGTAATTTATTCACACATTTATTTCCTCTAAATCAATCCCATCTCTCTTTCAAGGAGTCAGTGCAGTACGTACTGTATATGCTTTTCTCCCTCACAATTACCTCTGAGATGGGTTAGACGTAGACAGTGACTGGCACAAGACTGTCCGTTAAGTTTCATGTCTTAGTAAAGATGTGAACCTAGATCACCCAGGTCACATGCCAGCACACTCAAAACACTATACTATACTTTCTCGTATGTAAGGCATAAATACATCTGAGCCTAGGAATGTGGCAAATATATCATCATTGTTTTGAT